AAAAAAAAAAAAAAAAAAAAAAAAACTATGGTGACAAATATTTAACACATAAATCTAATAATTTTGTTGTTTTTTTTTTTAAAGATAAAAATATGTAAAATCTCACATCATAGTACGTTGTTAGAGGGGAATACATCATTTTTTAGAAAGGTGTAGAAAGTTTTTTCTAGTAGACACGTTTTAAAACTGACGACGATACATAACAGACCTAAGTAGACAATATCTACTAACGGTGGGCTTGAGCGGTTACAAATGGTATCAAAGCCAGAAAGCAAGTGGTGTATGTGAACACTAGACTCCAAATGAGTGGAGTGTAAGATCGGAAGAGAGAACATATTATTGGATTTATGGGAACAATAATAGACATATCCATGGGAGGCATGCCATAGCAGCATCATCTTTATGGGGACGTGATATAATTTGGGTAGCTTTTTTAGGAGCCGCTTTATATTCTACTTGCTTCCACCTTTACCATTCCAAACGATATCAAAATCCACAAACAATAACCTTTTTTCATATCATTTATTGCTTTTTTTTTTCCTCCAAAAAGTACAAATTTATTTCAACTATGAATTGAATAATAATTAAAAAAAAAAGTGTTTAATAACCTGAAAATAAGTAAAGAAAAACTACGGTATTTATAACGGTCCAAACCTATTGCTAGCAGATATTGTGTTTAATAACCCGACGTGGGATCTCACAATCCTCCCCTTCGGGGCCCAACATCCTCGCTGACATTTGTTTCCTTTACCAATTGATGTGGTACCCCCAAATCCACCCCCTCTTTGAGATCTAGCGTCCTTTGTTGGCACACCGCCTCGTGTCTACCCCCTTCGATGCTCAGTCTCCTTGATGATACATCGCTCGGTATCTAGCTCTGATACCATTTGTAAACGGCCTAAGCTCACCTTTTGCAGATACTGTCCTTTTTTGGATTTCTATTTGTAAAGGTTTTTAAAACAGGTCTACTGGGGAGAGGTTTACACATCCTTGTAAAGAGTGTTTCGTTCTCTTTCCCAACTGATGTGAAATCTCACGGTATTTGATGAACCGGAAGCCATGAGATTTATTAATCTTAAAAGTCCTGTTACAGATTCAAACAATTATTTAATCAGGGAGGTTACTGATAATAGAGGTCAAACCTGCAGTCACCATCAACATTTCATAAATTTGAAAGCTTTCTTTAATCAAAAGATAATTGAATATAAAAAGGGGAACTTTACAGAGAGCTCAGCCCAGAGCTTTAGCCTGTTGGGGAATTTTCTTAAGCAGCAGAGAGGCACAAGAAGAAGAAGGAGAAAGAAAGGTCCCTCCTTTATGAGAAGATTCAGTACAGAAAACCACAAGAAGTGAAGAAACCACAAGAAGCTTAGTTTATATATGAAGAGAAAGAGAGAAGTGGAAAAGGAACCTGAAATGAGGTCTGCAACTGCAGAGCTTTCAGTGTTGTCTCAGTTCAAACCTGTTGATCATGCCGCTTCTGACATACCCACCAAGCCTTTCCTCTCTGTTTGCCATTTGATCCTTCAATTTCTTGGTACCTCTCAATTTCTGCTTGTCTTGAGAACTGTAGATCGACAGGACATGTTTCTGTTAAATGAGATTGGTTTGGTTTGGTTCTTTTTTGCTGCAGATAAGGTAGGACCGACAATGACTGTTCTAAGACAAGACATTCATCAGAATATTCAGGTATAAACAGCATCAGAAATGGCATAAATCTCTCTCTCTCTCTCTCTGTCTATTCCTTATAGTTTCTTTGTCTGAAATGCAGAGGTTGGAGAGCCTATATGAGTCTGATCCTTCCATGTATTCAAATATGGTAGAAATTCTTAAGAAAGAGACAAATGAAGGGAGTACTAGGAAGCTCACCAGCTGTAGCAGAGCGTTTCTGTGGCTGACAAGGTAGCTTCATTCATTCACCTGTGAACAAAAGAGAAAAGAGATAAGATATAACACTGATTATGGAGTTTTACTGTGATTTAGGTCCCTGGATTTTATAGTGTCCTTATTGCATAAGTTAAAAGAAGAGCCTAGGATGAGCATGGAGCAAGCAGTAGAGGAAGCGTATAGCCTCACTCTTAAGCCATGGCATGGATGGATATCATCTGCTGCTTTCAAAGTAATTCTACTTCTTCATCTGCTGCTTTCTGAATTAGATCATGGTAGTTTTGTATAAACAAGAAGAGTACTATGGTTCTTGCAGATAGCTCTGAAACTTGTGCCTGATAGCGAAACCTTTGCTAATCTTCTAATGGCCAAAGACAAAAAAAACGACACCCTTTCGGAGGAAATCGACTCCTTCATTTCCCGGCTCTCGCCTTTTCTAGAAGATATCCATTCTATTCTGGTAAGCTCAAGTATTAGTTTCAGCACTATAGATCAATTCAATGAAAGTTTAGCTACTGAGAATGTTTTGTTTTTTCTAGAGACTGTACAGGTTAGATCGCTTGAAGTCTGCATAGAGCGAGACCAAGGGACAAGAGAAGAACAGTTTCACAAGTTTTGAGTTCTCTTTGTTTCATTTACATTTTCTTACATGTAAATACACTGTCATAGGCGTATCATAGGAAATTTTCCTTGTTTTCCATCCAAACTTGGTGCAGGTATTGTATGCATACACTTCTCGTCTTTCTGTTTCATACAGATGAAATAGGTAGGTTTGTCATGTAACTTGTAGAATTACTAGGCCTCAAATCGAATATGTAATCTTGAACGGCATAATATATGGTGTTTTCTGTTTAGTCAATGTCTACATAACAGCCCAAACCCGCCGCTAGCCGGTATTATCCTCTTTGGGCTTTCTCTTTCAGGATCTTCCTCAAGGTTTTTAAAACGCGTATGCTAGGAAGAGAGTTTCACTCCCTTATAAAGAATGCTCCGTTCTCCTCCCCAACTGATGTGGGATCTCACAGTCCACCCCGCTTCGGGGCTTAACCTCCTCGCTGCATATCATCCAGTGTCTGGCTCTAATACCATTTGTAACAGCCCAAACCCACTGCTAGCAAATATTATCCTCTTTGGGCTTTCCCTTTTGGGCTTCCCCTCAAGGTTTTTAAAACGGGTCTTCTAGAGAGAGGTTTCCACACCCTTATAAAAATGTTTCACTCTATTCTCCAACCGATGTGGAATCTCACATGAACGATGCAGAATGTGGTTACCAAATCCTTGCCCAAAAAGGCAGTTTGTAATCTTTGTTTCTAAGCAAAAATGTATCAAAAACTAAACTAGCATAGAAATTTTGCATTAATCTCTGACTTCCAAGACAGGGTAAGTCCGGGAAAGATCCTGTCATTGATAAGTTGTTGAGCCAAGAGTTCTATGCAATCAATATACGTCTCCATATTAGCTACATAATACCGATTATAATTTCAGTACTTCAGTTGGGGAAACAAGGGGGGAAAACTGACAGTGTCGAACATGAAAGAGATAGAGCTTTATTCCAACTAGTAGATAAGATATGGTTACATTTGTATGCTTCATTACTTCATGATATACTTGTAATGCCAGACAATAGATAAGTAGAAGATGGAAATATCGAACCATAACTTAAAAGTCTACCCTGTGTTTCTCAAGATAGGGCAGCTCGAAACCGCCTTTTCAACCGAGCCATCCAAGCGAGGACCTTTCATGAGTTTCCCAAGCAATTCCCCTGGGTCAAAAAAGAACTCCACCCCCAAAATTATATCATTCTCATTCACCTGGTTCATCAAAAACTTCAATAAGAACAAGCCAAAAAGAGTAACAACATACAAGCTCATTGAAGCTGGATCCTACCTTAAAAATGGCAACTCCAAAGAATTCAATTCTCTCCCCAGTGGGGGCATGGCTTTTAAAAGCTCCCTCCATGTGTCCCCAATGCCTAAACTTGAACACAATATCAGGAGGCCCTGAATAAACTTGGATAATCTCGAGAGCAAAACCTCGAGGGAACGTAGCGGTGAAAGCTTGATGAGAAGATGCAGCAGTCTCCTTTGCAGCATTATAGTACCTATACTCCTCAGGGAGGGAGGTCTGAAGGAAGGGATTGTAACCTCCAAGTTTACTTGTTTCTTCAATACTTAAAGGCTTTCTTCCTGAGAAATCATTGTTTTGTTTAGTTTATCATCAATTAGATGAAATAAACTTGCTCAAATCTAATGTTCATACCATTGAGACAGAAAGTAAAGTTGTTTAAATCTAATGTTCTGAAATCAGTGCTTGATATCTTATGGAACAGTTCCATCTCAAAATTCTTCACCAGGCTTTGCACTCTCTCTTCAAGTGATCCAACAGGCCATACCTTCCACAGTGAAACTTATAAATCAAAAGCTTAAAAGGAATCACACCCTTTCACAATTAAAACCCTAATGGAAACAGATCAAAACAGTTCAATCCAAGAAAACAGAGAAAGAAATTACATTAGTCCGCTCTTCTTCGAAGAGCTTGTTGACAACATCGTAGTTAGGAGGAACCCCAAATCTCCATTTGGTGTTCTTCTCTTCATCTCCAAGCAAAAGCGAACGATACTTCTCATCCCCAGAGGCCATTGTGAAATCAAGGATTTGGGGGCGGATTTGGGTTGTGAGTAAGAGGGCAATGGCGTCTTATATAACGACGGAGAACAACGGAAGGGAAGATGGTTGCTTCCAATGGCGGTGTTCGTGAAATCAACACTGACATAATCCATTACCTCACTGCAACTTTTCGAAGTTTGAAATTTCAATGTTAATTTCAAGTTAGTGTTTTTGTTCTCCTTTTTGGATTCACCAACCAAATGTCTGGCTTTTCGTCGACGACCAACGGAAATTTAATGAATTTTTTAATTAAAAAATTGTTATAATTTTGTTTATGAGAATCTTATCCAAGTGATTCATATTAAAAAAAATTTAAAATTTTTTTTTAACCCTTTAAAAAGTAATTTTAAATTGAAGTTTCTCAAAGGGTTTAGGTACAGATCATTTTCAAGAAATTGGTATAATTAAATATAAATATTATGATCCACAATGTCTAACCCTTTTGATTAAAAATATAATTTCGTGTTTATAAAAAAATAAGACTTATTGGGACTATATAATAAGAATAAGTTCGGGTAGTGTAAGTGGCAAACTCATTTTTCCCTTCCCTTCTCCAAGGTTGGATCCATAATGTTCGTGGAGGAAATCTCTTACCTAACGTTGAGAAATATTCATTTTGCATCGTATTAGTTACGTATTTGATTTGGGACAAAAAAAAGAACCGACTACAATATCGTTGCGATTTTAATTAACCATATTTTTAAATATTTTGCTTTCTTGTAAAATATTATAATAATAATAATAAATAAAAAGCTAACTTAGAAACATAGTATAACATTTTTTATTTATGTGATTCTCGAATACAAAATGAATGCATGAATGAACTAATATCACATTTAAATGAGAGGATCATGAATATAGGATGACTAAGTAAAGACATAGACAAAATAAAAGTGCTCCACTAGAGCTCTAATTTTTTTTGGAAGATTTTGATGTAAAAAGTACATGATGGAGCTCGAGTAGAAAGTATTGATTCATTTATCAACTACTTTCGTAAGTATATGTTCGGTATAGAAATCGAAAGGATCTGATTCGACCAAGTTTCAAATTCAAACATCAAATTTGATCAAAAGTGTATCACAGAATCTATTATTTATATATTTATATGATTCTTGGATAAAAATCAATCAGAAAAAAATAGTATGTTGCTGCCATTTTGACACTGATTAAAGATCATCAAAGTAATGTCTAAATTGGTGGCTCCATCATTCTAGGTTGAATGATCTATTAAAAGAAATTTTTGAGATGCCAGAAAGGCTTGTGCTAATCTATGTGGATAATGACCATGTCCGCAGGTGCCGAATGCCGAATCTGAATTCAATGGATAGTTACCATTCATGAATACACCTCAATTTACTATTTTCAGCCAAAATGCATAAATATCACTGTACTTGGTGTCAATTATGTTTAATACAATCCAGAAATGCCAGAAAATAAATCAAAATATCAACCTGTGAACCAGAGAGAGAGAGATAGAGGAACAATTGTGGTAAGTACACCGTTCATGATTACTGAATAAACAATATAGTTAAAGAAGTCTTGTATGAAAGCAAATTTTGGGGGCAAACAATGGCTCCGAGGAAAGAGAAGAGCTTACTTACTTAGATCGATGGCGAAAAAGTCACCACATCTTTCCCACAGAACACCGCCGTCGATTCCTTTTTCTTGCTTCCTCCCGTGTCTGAAGCTAATCTGATTGAGTTTGGGTTAAGGGTTAGCTCTACAGGGGGCAAGGGCCGGTAAGTTTAGCAAGCTAACGTTCCCGCCGTCGATTCCTTTTTCTAAACTAATAATATCAGCATGGTTAATAATCATGCCAACATATGGGTTCCCACGATTTACATTACTTACTTAATACACCAATGCCATGTTATCTACCAATTCTTTGTCTCTTACCATTGGATATTCCACTGTCACTAACGCTGCCTTGAGTAACATTTTCTTCAACTTCAGAAAATTCTCTTGACCAGGACTTCAAAGGGATCAGATAACTGTCGTCCTTCGCACTCTTCCGCTGTTCTTGATGCCGTTTAACATTTTCAGAGAACCGATTGATCGTTTTGTTAAGTTTTGAAATACCCCTTTCGACTGGTTCTACGACGTGTGTGACTGTGTACTTCATGTCATCAACGATCTGATGGGGAACAAAGACACGAAGGACTTATCAATGCCCACAAATAAAATGAGAAAGCCATTGCAGGATTAGAAAGAATAAGGTTAGGTCTTACAATTCCGCCGCTTCCAATTACAACATCTCGAACACTCTGGGGAAAACTCAAACGCTTCTCTCTCTCATCATGGCGACCCAAGCGTATTTTAGTCATCCGTTCGGAGTCTCTAACCTCCTCTGGATCAGGTGGCGTTCCTAAGGATGCGTAGTCGGTTAGCACTGCAACATTACGAACACATCTTTCTCCACGTTTATAAGGTACTGCTGGAAAGGTGTAAACATGTGCGACGGCAGCAATACCCATCTGAATGAGATGAAACAAGAAAACAAGATAAGTTCTTGCAATATAACATAATGAGAGATTTAACACTCTTAGACAATCAAACTCGCTTAATTTCAGATCACATGGAGTATCAGCCGCGTGATCCATATGGGATAACCGAGAAAATTATCAAAACAACCCTCAAATAGGCCTTAAAAAAGTTTCCTCCTTCCCCTTGAATGTACAGATGGTTTTCACTTTTTAAAATGATACCCAAGCGTCCTAATCAAACATCAGCTAGTACCCATACTCTTGATAAGTTTAACTCCAATGACATCTCAATCTTCCAAGTAAGGATTGCACATAAGTTCAATTTATCAATCCTCCAAAGGAAAGAACGAAATAATGTGAAGACAAACCTAAAAGCACTACTGTAAGATATATGGAGCAAAAGGGCAAGAAATGTAGTCTCAGCTCACCTCAATGCATATCAGGTAATCTTGTATGCGCGTCTTTAGCTCCCGAGCTAAGGACCCTTTAAAAGCTCCTACTGAGAAAAGAAAGGCAACGGCAACACCTTGCCACCAAGTGAGGAAAACGATCGACTTGAACACAAGAAACTTCGCCAGTGGTTTAATTGATTCCAATTTGTCCTTTGTGACAGAATAGAATTGGAGAAGGCAATACAGGGCCCACGATTGACTAAAATTAAGTACAACCGCCAAATAGGGATAGCTGTAGAACGTAAGAGAGACTGGTCAAAATCAATGCACAAAGCCTTGGAAAAGTATGTTAGAATAAGAAGTTCACAAACATCTAAATACAGAAGAGAGGTTCAACTACGTTTGTCTGCATTATAGTCAATCGAGATCACAAGGTATCTGTGATGTTAAAAAGTTTAAAATATCCACAAAAGTAAATCAGGGCACATACCCATATCTCCAGTTAAACTTTCCTTCTCCATAGACCCCGAAACTTTCAAGAATCATAGCTAGGAGAGCACATATCATCTTCAATATCATCTGCAATGTCAATCAAGGACCAAAACCATGATATGAATTTGACAAAACATACTTATTTCAAAAGAAAGAGAGAGCAAAAGAATGATCACATACATATTGAACGATACCAATTTTAACCGCATGATAGAAGTCAGAACCAAGATACCAATCCCTTATGAAGCAATTTAAGGGAAAAGGATGTTCTACAACCCCATATGCATATTTTTCCGCCAAAAGAGGTGTGTCAGAATCAAAAACAGTCTGACTTTCCATGAATTCAAGTGTACGCTTCTCACCACCTTTCGACCACATAAAAATTGTAAAATTTTCAGCATTATTTGAGGGCATTAAACTAATCTTGTAAAATGAGTTAATCACCCATCAAAACATTTTATATCTCACAGTACATACTACAACTAACACGTGCAAATGAAGGTGGAAATAAAGAGCCTTATAATTAGCACAAAGAAAAGAAAATGGGTAGCACCAAAAATGTTTGGACAACCTGCAGCGGGAGAGAAAAACACACCAACGAACATAATTGCAATATGATAAACGTACCCAAGCAAGCAATAAGGTATCTTTCAAAGCAATATAATGCAAAAGCTTCATAGCAGTCCCGTATCACTTCCCAATTGAATGCACCATTTGAATTTAACAAAGACAGGAACTGCAGCAAAATAATAATAATAATAATAAATGAATAAATAATGGAAAAAAAAAGTAGAAAAACGTCAAATAAAAATTAAATAGATTCAGAAAGTTCTCGTACCAACAAAAACCAGATCATCTTCTTTAAAAAAATATAATAAATGGAGCAATTATAATGAATTAAAAATCAAACAAATAAAGAAAGGATGTAAAGAAAAAGGGAAGTAGTGTTCCTCTCACCGATTCTAGAGAGTAAACAGGAACCATCAGTATAAGACCAATCAGAAACTTCTGTTCCTGAAAGAAAGAAAGGTAATCTGTCAATCAACGGAATAGTGCCAAAAAAAAAATACTATTGATAGTATCATCTCTCAAAGTAAGCAAAACATGAGAAAGCGCACAAGTTTATGTATAGCCCCTACACTATGAAATTGAAAGAAGTAAAACTCAAATTAGCTTCATTCTTCACACAACATGTGTTGTTTGACATCTATGTAACCAATGTTATAATTTGGGTCAGATATATGATTAGACATCAAAATGAAATCCACCAACGCTAACACATTGCTTCAACAGTGAGTATGATTGGACATGGGGATGTATTCCCACCCAAGCAGCAAAGTAGAAGTGTTCAAGAATTTCACAGAAGATAATATAACTAGTCCTTGGGAAATCCAATCAAATGAAGGAACACAACAGACCTCTGGCTGATTATAAGAAGCTAAATGCTCAATGATGAGAAGTGTGGAAAGAACAAGTGCAACAATTACGAATACACCAGCACTGAAAATTGTCCAGCTGAAGTTAGGAGCTGCTTCGGTGCTTAGATTCAGTAACCACATCTTCCCTGATCTACTGGAGGATTCAACCATATTGAAGAGAATAAACAGAGTGTAGAAGAACATCCTCCATCCCATCAAGCAAAACTGTTTGAAGAAACTGGTTAACTAGGAATGTGCTCGATCAAAACTAACTCATCAACCAATCTTTCAATGTCTTATTCTACTATTATTTTTTCTTCCAGATCACTCCTAGTTTGAGATCTCAGAGACACCCGCATCAAGCCCTTGCAAAAGTAAAAAAAAAAAAAAAAAAAAAAAAAAAAAAAAAAAAAAAAAAAAAAAAAAAAAAAAAAAAAAAAAAAAAAAAAAAAAAAAAAAAAAAAA